TGGCCTCAGGATGACCTGAGTTTGAATTCTGCCTCAGACGTTTAATGTATGACCCTGGACAAATCATTTAACCTCTCTCAGCCTTAATTTCCTCATCTGTAAAATGTAGATTAATTATTGTACTTCCCTCAAAGAGCTGTTGTAAGGATCAAATGATATAACATGCAAAAACACAGCAAACCTTAAAATTATACATAAATTCTAAGCTATTATTGCTATCATTTTTATGAATTCCTTTCCAAATGTCTCTAACGTGGATGAAATAGCATGTCTGGACCCCCACTTCCACAACACACACATACACACACACACACACACACACACACACACACACACACACAGTCTGGTAACTACAAAAATGTGACATGAAATCCAAAGAATCATCAAGTGGACTATTTGTTAGCTTGCCGCTATATAAAACTGATGCTTAAAAAGTAACAAAAATATAAGACCAAAATTGATTCAGGGAAATAATTAATACAGTGATAAAAACATTTAACTTGTATATTAATTGCTGATCCATGTCATTTAAGCACTGCCCTTGTTCATTTTTGTTCTACACTATTAAATTGGTTAGGAAGTAGTTTGTTCCCTTCATAAGTAAAATGACAAGAATTTTCAACCTAGCCTTGATCTGAATGATCACAATTCTTCTGCAATTCTCAAAGATCACTCCATAGCTTTCTGCTCTTCTCATCTCTATAATACCCTCCCTTTTGTGTCATGGATACCTTTGGCAGCCTGGTGAAATTAATGGACTCCTTTTCAGAATAATGTTTTATTACCTACATTCATAAAGGAAATGCTAAATTTCCACCAGAGACTAGTGATAATAAGTCCATTCAAGTTCACAGACCCTTTGAAATCTATCTCCAAACCACAGATTAAGAATCCTTGCCTGATGAGAAATAACCCACTCTCACAATTTCAACTGCCACCTTTATGGAGATAACTCTGAACTCTTCTCTCCAGCCTGTACTGTCTCCTGGATTCCAGTCCTGCACCTCTAGCCACTTAGACCTCTTACTTGCCATTGTCACCTGAAACTGAATATGTTTAAGCCCAAATTTATCTTGTATATCTTTAGAAGGATTTCCTTCAGCATTCTCACAGTCCACCAACCTCAAAACCTGTAATTTATTTTTGTCTCCTTCAATTCCCTTATATTATTATTATCCAATAATTCACAAATTCCTATTAATTCTTCCTTCTTAAAGTTTCTCACATCTCTTCTTTTCTGCATGGCTAGTCAATCTTCTGATCACCTATATTTATGCAAAAATGTAACTGTTCTCTCAGAACAATATTCTATAATTAAAAGACATTCAATAAATATATTTACCTACTGATAGCAGTATCTAAATTTCCATATCTCTCTACTTTAATATCAATAAAAAATAAGGCCTTGAATATATCCTGTCTCACTCAACCAGCAGCCAAACTTTTGGCAACTTCAGCTATCAAACAGTTGTGAACTTATAAACGGAAACTGAAAAACCGCCCCTGAGCAGTGAAAACAGCTGTTGTAACATCCATTATTTTACTTCCTAGAATGGGCCTAGAGGCCCTTATAGACTATTACTCATTATGATTCTTTGGTTATCTGGTTTCTCAGCACATAGCAGATTAGACTCAACAAATTAAAACTTCAGTGAGCCGACAGTGCCAATGATAAAACCAACGGAAAAACTATAAAACTAGACACAAGAACTCAAAGCACAGCACTTGGCACACTCGGAGGAGCAAACAGGCTCGGAGGGCATTTGAGACCAGTGAGGGCAGTAAAACTGAAAAGTCATTTAAGACAAGGTTGAATTATGCCCAATGAACTCTGTTTAAGAAGCTATTTATTGGATTACACAGTGCATTTGAAAAGGATTTCCGTCAAAATGAATAAAAGTATTAAAGACTTGCTCTTGGAGCATCAGTTATCTAGACATTTCATTATATTACTCTGTGACAAATGAGGCAGTTTTTCTTGATAATTAACTAAAAGATAAAGGGATGACATAAGATTATCAGCACTTCTACATGGCTTTTATTGTTTTACATTAGAAGAAAAAGTTTAGCTGTACCAATATCTGCTTCTATTTTATAACCAGATATATTCACTCCTGTTTGCGTGAAAGCTAAACAGGAAAAGCAGCTTCAGAATTATTTGCCATAAACGCATCCTGAAATGTTTTGCTCTTTCTGAATACCATCTAAAAGGAAATAGGATTGTATAGGCTCTATTTCAATTAGTGCCTAATCAAGTAAAACTGAATATTATATTACAAATTTTAGTCTTGCACATTTAATCAATAATTGCCATCATAACAAAAAGCACTTCTGGCCTAAAAGCAATTCATCAGTCTCTTCCATCCAGCATTCCAAATGCAGATAATAATCACAACTGTCCCCACCACACAGTTTGACTTAAAATATGTCTCATGTATACAATGTCTGATTATGGACTTTTTAACAGCCTATACATGACCAATCAACCTATACGATGACAACCTATACATATAATTTTCAACAACCTATACATGACCCATCAAACTCTTCCCATGAACCTAATGAGGGCTCAGGAAAGAACAACTAATCTTAATACTGCCCCTCTCCAAAAAAAAAAAAAGATTTAAGAAGCTAAATCTGCTGGGGACAGGGGATACAAGGGGACAGGGAAATATCACTTGGCATTATTCATAGCACACTTCTCCATTAGCAGACATAAACAGATTAATTTTTTATGTGAGAGTAACTTTTTAAGAGATCTCTGAATTAGTAACTAATTTTAACAAATATTGTTTACTTGAGGGAAATTTTCAGAGGAAATCTGCAATAATTTTACTAGAGTCACAAACCAACAGTAAAAGAAATTCACAAAATACTGGTGTTTCCATTCAACAGCTCAACAATATTATTGTCTGTTCCACTTGCTGTAGTACCACCTGAAAGACACCTATGGCAATCCCTCCTTAGAGTGATGATTCATTAACATAACATAAACCATCTTTTAAACAGCAAAAATTAACATTTGATTTTCAATCACAAACTAGTCCCCCTCCCCATAAACAAAAAATCAACAGTAGCCTGGGAGTGATGGGATTACAGCAGTGGATACCATTCAATCAAAAGGAAAAGCTGGTTTTCTAAATGATAAGACAAATTAGACAAATGATGGTGTATGAAAATTCTGCCAACCAAGGCAGTATTTTTCACATAAAAAAAAATCCCAGTTACATTATGTCTGGATATCACAAATATTAAAAAAGTGGGCTATGTGTTTCCAATAAATATATGTATTATGTATGTATATATACACATATACATACACACATTGCTACCTAGAGCATGAAAACTTTTTGCATTATACAGTTATCTAAGAATTCAGAAATTTCACTAGGATGTACTATATTGAGTTTTCCCAAACACTGGGATGTTTCGGCTTTTTAAATTACTGTTGCATCTTTTTCTATTTTCTTTCCAATGCAAAATAATTCCTGATCACTGGAGAGCAAAAAATAAATTAGAAACAAACGACAAAGCCTGAAAAAAACGGGATATTTTCTAATGTACCTGTGTTTAATTGGATGGGGATGATCACCCCCACTCTCACTCCAAGAAATGGTTAGGATTGCTCACTGGACAAGTTCAAAATATATGTAAATAAAAAGGAACAGATTGTTATCATTTTAAGACAACGGAGATTTCCAAAAGAATTTTTCCTAAATTACCTTCGAGGTTTTTTGGGTTTTTTGTTACCACCTCTAACTGAGCCCTTTTCTTTCCTAGAGACTTTTCTGGTGTAGTACCGTGACTTTTTTTTTTTTAAACACTTGGCTCTGCCCTATGCTACAGACACTTTTCCGTCCCGTGACTTTGTCTGAGATCACTTAAGGCCACCCTTCTGCTTCTCCTCACCGCACCTTCGTGGGGGACTGACCTTACCTTAATGAGTCCGTCCAGGAGCCTAAAAGTAACTGATCACAGAGGGAAATCCTCACTCCCGGTTCCTAACTGGCTTGCTGTTTTTTAAAAAGCTTTCCATGCAGGCTGTGGCTACTGTATCCAGAGAGGGGAAAGGACAACTGCCTTATTAGCACCAAGTCCCTGAACACCTAGCAATTAATACACTCCTCCGGAGGAACTGAAATGTGTATCCCTGAAGTGGCAGGGGCGGGAAGATTTAGAGAAAGAGACCTGCCAGAAACAGAACCACACGCACAATTAGGGCAGACGGGTTGGGATCTGGGGGCAGTGTGAGACGCCTCCGCATTATTCCGAGGCTCTGGCTTTGAGACACAGACACACAGGTGGCTCTTCGACGGAGTCCGGATCTCCTTCTCCCGACTCCCCCCCATACCCCCGCCCCCGCCCCATGTGGATCCTCTCTTCCCGAGGCTCCCGCAGCCCCATGAAAGGTCTCCCCAAACCGACTCCCAGACTGAACTTCAAGTGTCTACCCATTCAACTCCAGTGCTAGTCTCGAGCCCTAAGCAAGGAGCCGGACCCTTCTTCCTCCCTCCTCCCCCACATCCTCCTCTTTCTTCTCCTCCTCCGCCTCCTCTTCCTCCTCCTTCCCTACACCCCCCTCCCTCGTGGCGCACGTCTCGCCGGCTGGGCCGGGGAGAGGGGGGAGTATGCACACATCTCCACCCAAAAGAATTAAACCACCTTCCCCGCCATCTCAAAGCCTCGTAGAGAGGTACCCCAACTTCCAAAGCAGCTGCCGCGGGTCTGCAGATGGGGCGAACGAAGCCAACTCCTGCGCGCGGCTCCGGCCACCCGCAGCGTCTCCACTCCACCGCTGCCCTAGGCAGCCCCCATTCCGAGCATCCGCCGGGCCCCAACTTCTCTCTCCACGGAGCACCTAGTCCCCCAGCCCTTCCTAGCTCTGCCTCAGCGGGCATGCACATGAAGGCTCCCGCCCCGCAAGTGCCTCCCGGGCAGAGCCCGGAGCCCTGGCTCGGGCTATCGTAAACCACTGGAACTTTGCAATGTTCCCAACTCACCCGGCTGCGCTCGGGCTCGGGCTCCGGCTGCGGATCGCCCAGGGCTGCCGACGCCTTCCCCGCAGCCAGCCGCCCTCACTCGGTTTGTTGTGGCTGCTGCCGCCGCCTCCGCCACCTTCTCCTTATCCCACTTCCCCGCCTGAGGTCTCGATGGCGAGGGCAGTGCCAGTGGCTGCAGAATACAGCCCTGCCCGAGGCTGACGCTGCCTCTCCGCGTACCGACCACAAGGTAAAGTTATGCCCCTGGGTGCAGCTGTTAGCGCCGCAGCCGCTGGCTTTTTCCTCCAGTCACTGGCTCCTGGGCTCCCTCTTTTTTTTTTTTTTTAAACTTGCCCTCTCCAGCTCCCACTAGTGATTGAAGAGTGAGAGCCAAATACTTAGCAGCAGGATTATGCCTATAACCCACTTAGAAACACACTAAAGGGACACGCTTCTGCTTTTGGGAAGAAGGATGAATATGGAGAATGGGGCCCATCAGTCAATAAACATTTATTAAGCACATAGTACATACCATACATTGAGCCAACCACTGAAGCTATAACGACAATTAAAGTCTCTGTCCTCCAGGGACTTACATTTGTAACATGTTGGACTCCTAACCCCCCATTATACATCCATAATGAAATCATGTAGGTTTTACTTATTTTAGAAGTCCCCACCCCCAACCACCACCCCAAAAACACTCTTAAGGTTTGGGAAGAAATATTTTGGGGAGAGGGGAGAAAGAATCTTTTCCCCATCCATGAAAGTGATTATTAGTTAACATTTCCCAGATATTAACACCCTGCTAAAACTTTATGGAATTCATAAAAGATACTATCCACTCAGTTATGGCAATATGGGTAATTAAAAGAATAGAATTTGGGGGGTTTTTTTCTCCTTCAAGTTAAAACAAATCATTTATGTTTTCAGAAGCTGTCTGAAGCCACCAGAGTGGTAGTAGAGAACTTTTCTGATGTATTCTAAGATGAAGTTTTAACCATTGGTATATTTTGTTTATTTTGGAGTCTTTGCTACTCATTTCATACTTGTGTGGCTTGGCTAGTAGCATGAGTGTTGTAACACAATGTTGCCTGCCTAGAATACAAGTCAAAATGAGGCTGGCCAGAGTTCTACGGTTCCAGGTCTTTCTACCTCACACTGAGATCTCTGTTTATAATTGAAATATAATTGGAGCCAAGTCTTGCTAATTTTCTTTTTCTGCCTTCACTCATTTTTAACCTTTTCTACACTTACACCTTTACTCATATATTCCAAGCTGAACCTTGGCTATCTTAAACCACGTGAGTCCCAGAGCACTATTCTTAGAACTGATTGCCCCTTTTCCTACTGTCTTTGCTATTTTATTTTAAATCAAATAACCATAGCTTTCTTTGGAACATTGGACATAAAGGGAAGGAACTTGGGAATTTCGAATTCTATGTCATATCTACTATCTCCAGCATGTTAGACTAATGTAGAAACTCAAATGAAACACTATTTCAAGATATGTAATTTAAATGCCCTGGGTATTCCCTTCATTGACACAGATTTCAGCCTATTCACATCTTAGTGGGTACTGTAAGCAAAAAACAAAACACAACAAAAAATTCATTGCTTGATGACCAGCTGTTAGGTAATGAACTTAGCTATGTTGGTCTTCAAACACTGGGCCTTCCAGCTTGGCTCGACCTGCCAGATCTTGCACTTCTATGGTCTTATCATCTTTATTTATTTAATAAATATTTAGGTTTGGGTTTGGGTTTTTTCACTCTGCAGCCTTCATATCCCTAGTCACAGAACCCTCCTTTGTAACAAAAAAAAAGCAGTAAAGCAAAACCAATCATATCAAGACCACAGGGTATGCAACTTTCTGCACGTATAGCCCCCCACCTCTCTTTGGAAAAAAAGACCAAGTAGGCTTACCTCCATACCCACAGTGAGGAATCTTTATGCATCTTCACAGTACAAAATCATGGTGGGAAATAGTAAAAAGGAAGGGATGCTAAAAATGCCTAATTATATTCATACTGATATAATTTTTATCAATATAAATTTAGATATCTTCAGAATTAACATGGGCACATCTTTATTATTTTCTGAATTATTTATCTTCAGAATTAACTCACTCTGTATTGCCATTATCTTTAAGACAATATAAACAGACTCTTTTAGCAAAATTTAATTTCAAGTTGTGATTTATGAGGGTAACCATACATAATCCGAGCAAATTTTTTTCCAAGCCATCTTTACATATCCACCAACATAATTTCTAAACCCCACCCTAAAAAAAAGATAGAACAAAAAATTGGCAAAGCTGGCGAAAATTACTTACTCTATCCATTTCTTCTTTCAAAAGCATGATGACTTTTTTTCCTTCTAAAATGATTTGCCAACTTTGGCTGTTTCTTTTCTAGCTATTTCTTTACTAATCTGTACTCTAAAAAGATATCAATGTATGATGTAGGTAGAAGTATATATAATTTCCACCACTGGAAATAGGAACAGCGAAGTTAAGCAAGAAAAAGAGAAGTGAAAGGTATTTTTATAGATTATCTGAAGAAAATGGATATGTTGTAGATGAAGACACAGTTGTCTAATCAGTTTAACCCAGCACTGGACCTACTTCCCAAACTTGCATTTTGTTTATACTGACACATCGGGTGCTCAGAGAAGCAACTACAATCTCACCAAACATTCACTAAGCAAAGCATCATGCTGGGGAGGTGCTGAAGAAGATACAAGTCAAGTGTATCTACAGATTATACGGACCAGTAGAAATCAATTTAATTAAGAATTATTATTGTTGTTGTTTGTACTTTGTTCTCAGAGAGGACCATGACATCAGGAGGATGATGTCAAGACTTGCAAGTGAATTGGATTTAAGTTAGGGAAGGCTTTGCAAAGTCTCACTCTCTCCTCCTGAACCATCTGGGTCAGGTGGTAAGATGTGGATCAGGACAACTGGAGATGGCCCAGGATGCAGTGGGAGACTTTGGCCTTTCTAAGCTAAGGTCTTTCCCAGGTCTCAGTTTGACTGAGGCAATGCCCATTCAGTGATTAACACTAGGTAAGAAATGAGGTAAAGAATGACCTCTTTTACCCAGTCAAAAAAAAAAATCAATCTGGGAGGGAAAGACCCTGAGGGTTTCTGGCCAAAACAGAAACAATTGCTATTTACACTCACTCTGAGCCATCAGATTTTCATCTGAGATTTTCTTGATGATCTCCCCCTCCCTGTGCAATAGAAATTGAGACAACATTGTTTTGTTTTGTTTTACTATCCAAATTTTACTATCCAAGATTATATCATAGAAGTAGCAGGTGAACAGTATGTAAAGTTGAGTCGTGGCTGAACTCATTGTTTTCCTCCATGAAAAAACTGAAAAGCCCCAAATACAATGAATACGGTATTAAGGACTTTTTAAGTTTAGAAAATACTTAGCATTCTCATTTAATTTGGTTAACTGCGAAGGAATAAATTTGAGAAAATAGGTGGAAGCCTAATATTTGACATGAAACAGAAAATGAAGGCTACGAAGAACTGCTGACTTATAAATAAAGCAGAGTCAAAGGATAAAGAGAGAGAGAGAGAGATGGCAAAGGGAAGAGAGTAAAGGCAATGCACTGATGGGTGGTGGCCCGAGAAGGAATGAGTGGCAGAGGGACTGAAGGTCTTGGGAGAAGGAAGAACTGGGTTGATGGTCCTGAGACTGAGGGAACAATAGAAGGAGAAAAGATTATGATTAGGAAAAGGGATTTCAGGTTCACAAATTGGGAAGTAGAATACTTATGAGTGATTACAAGTCTAACATTCTTAATGTAGTTTGAGCGAGGTTTGGAATAAAAGCATTCAGTGCAAAGAATGGACAGCAATCTCCTTCATGTGCCATTTATGTTGCCAGGAAGAAGTATACCTAACCAAAGCCCTGGTGTAGGGCAGAAGTGGGGAGTTCTTATCAACGGGGTATGAAGTTCTCTGTCCAGCTCTTATATTGCAAGTTCCCTAAGCTACACTTGGAAAGCAGGGGAGGGCTGCCAGGACTGTGAAATCCAGCACTGGTCAACACTGGTTCCAAGTAAAGGAATAAAGTGGCATGGTAGGGAGTCAGTATACCACAAGACAGAGTACAAGACTACAGCTAGCAGAAAGGAAAGCAAGTATTTTTTATTGATGGAAAATAACAGTTATCCCTTCCACATCAAGGGAATTAGGAGCATGGTGTTGCCCCCAACCCAATCTGGGAAATCTTGAGTTAAATTTTTTGGCTCTCCTTTCATACCAGAGAAGTCTAAATTATTATGGTATTAAAAGATAAAATATGTTCATATTATATAATACTATACATATGTTTTATGCATTTATGAGTTTCTAAACTTTTCCAGTGTCATCTGCACCTTCCACAAAACCCCTCCCATTCCCATTTAACCCTCGACATATAAAGCTAGGATGGAAGGGATGTGGAAGGGATAAATACAACACAGGTGACAGTCAAGGAGATGGAAACAGGTCAAGTCCACTGGGATCTAACAGAAAATAAGGCACCAAAACCATTAAAGCTAATGGGTTTTATGGGGTTCTTATCTGGGTCAATAGGACCAGACCTTTTTGGTTAAGGAATATAAAGCATGGTTCTGGTATGCAGACCAACATTCAGGGACTGGTACAGATTCCTGATGGAGGGAATACCTGAAGAATTAAGGGCTAGTCGATATCTAAACTTCCAAGTAGGGAGAAGGGTTTTTAGATGTTACAGTTCAAGAAGAAGTACAGTCAAAGTAATTTGACTGGGTGATTTGAGAAGTTTAGACCTCCCTTGCTTCATTTAGCAGAACTGGGAGGCTAGTGAGGCCCTTCAGCAAGGGTATGACCATCTTTGTGTAACCCTAAGGTGGAATGGAAGAATAGGGCAAAGGAAATGAGTAAATTGAGGAGATATAGTTCCCACATCTATAAAATGGGGATAATAATACCACCCAGGTCGTTGTGAGGATAAAATACAATAATATTTGTAAATCTCTTGGCAAACTTTAAAGCTATAAATCCTAGCTGGTCTTGTTGTTGTTACCTGAGAATTTCGGATTTGGGGGGGAATATCAATGTGGGTATTGAAGTCTCCTAAGATGTACGGTAGGGCAAGAGCTACCTAGCTAGACTGGAGAGAAAGACTGGGAGCCAGACTCTGAACTCATTGAGGAAGAAAGAGCAGTAGCTAACAGCTACCAAACTCTTGTTTGAGTGAGGAATATGCCTTGAATGAACCTCAGAGGAG